TATATCCTATAAAAGACAATGACACTCAGCCAAGATATTACAGATTTAGGCCCCTTCTGTTAGCAAGTGTCTGTTTGAAAATTAACTGAGTAATTCCAGTGGACTAGCTTTCATGCTCTTCTACCAATAGACAAAGTCTAATGTCTTCTATAAACAGGACCTGGAGTTGTGTACTTATTCTTCAGTGTACTACAATTTTACTCATTCCTTCAAAGTATTTTCACAGGCTTTTGTTGCAGTGATTACATTTAAATAAATAAATAAATAGAAACTACTAAAAATAAACCTACTTTGATTTAATGGCATGCCACAACTCAGAGTATCGAGTGGAATGTGAAACAAAATTCTTTCACTTTTTGTTGTTGTTGTTGGTTTTGTTAAGAAAAAGGCCTTTGATTTTGTTCTGGTAATTACCTTAAAAAGTTTCTTTATGATAAATATATCACACAAAACCAAAGTTTACACTGAATTAACATTGCTGACAGGAGTCTTGGCAACAAGCATGAATGCAATGAATCTACATTTTTTGGCAAATGGACATCAAGTACTTGTACTTCCAAGCTACTGACACATCAGATAGAGGATATACTTAGGACACATGACTTCACAGTTCTAAATCAGGTCATTTGCTACAGTATAGAGATCACAAGCCTCACACTCCTGCACGATCAAAAAATGTCAGAATATAACCAACTATTTTTCTGACATCTAAGCTCTCTGCTCATCCTTCATATGACATGAAGGGTGTCTATTTACGAGTTTAACAGACCCATATTGACAATAGTATCACCATTGCTGCCTGCCTGCCACCCCACCTCTCTTAACTAAGGAAGCACCTGAATTACAGAAGGGTGGAAGAAAAACAACAGTCCAATGAAACAGCCAGGATAAGAAAACCTGTTTAAAAAGTCATCCATGTGCTTTCATATACCAGTTTTTAATTCACTTTGTAAGGCATTTTAGCTGACTGAATCAGACTTTGAAAAAGCAGTTATAGGGACTCACGGCCCGCTGCAGAGCCAAACTGAAGTTGTTGGTTGCAAAATAAAGTTACGCTAAGGGTACAGTTAGACTAGCCAGCTTAAGTAACATAATAGCCCCCTGACATCAAAAGGATATCCCTTCTGTAGGTCCCTGACATTGTCAGCCCTGCACCTTCCCTCTCCCTTCTTCGTTTGCAGCCACACAGCTCCATCCCGACCGTGCTGGCTCTCACACTTGTCTGACCTCTCTGGCCACATCTATAATAGTAAATAAAACAGGGCCAGAGCACAGGCTCAAGCCATGCTGTTAGTGTTCTCTCTGACACCATTTTGGCCTGTACCAACTTGGCACTCTTCCAGACAAATGCGCAGGCACAGTTAAGGGGACAGCAAACGCAGAACAGCAAACTGCTCTCCACTGGCAGTTTGGATGCAACCATGCTGCTTTGGGAGGAAGACTGTTAGTTATGTGCAATCTCGCCACTTTGTTCCGGGTCCAGAGAACAGTCTCTGGCATATTTTATTCCCTAGTGTAGACACAGCCTCAGTGAAACAATTCAGCTCATTAAGCCGGTAGAACTGTAATACAGGAAAAACATAGCTAGAGACAGCTGAACAGAGTCACTAAGGGGCAGAAAAAAAGAAGGATAGAAACACATGGATGGTAGCAAAGGAAAGAAGCGTGAAGAGGGACCCTGACTGGTATTTAACAACAGTTGCTAGATCAGATCAGGCTGTGCTGCGTAACCATACCTCTTGCTCTACGCCTCATATTTGCAGGGCTATCAGGAACAACATCCTACTCTTTTTTTTTTTTTTCATATTTAAGTGTTCATATATATATATATATATACACACATACACTCACACACACATACCATGTAGAAGAGAAACAAAATGATAGCTGCAAACTGAACAATTCTATATTCTCAAAGGATAATCACTATTACATTTCCATGGGATTTATTACAGGATTTATAATCTTGGGAAAACACAACTCCTTGTAAATTTGGTTAGAATTACAGCAGCTCAATATGCTGAAAATCAGGTGCCCGAACCATACATTTAAGTTGAACGTTTGAAAATATTGGCCTAGTTATGTATCTGTGGAAGCACAGTACACAAAATGTACAGCTGCTGCTTTTTCAAAAGCAGTATCCTGTGCTGCTTGTCTCTTAGTTACGTATATTCTAAAGCTGCTACCTGATTTGCTTCTAATCAGACTGGCCTGCTTAAATGCACACAGTAGTCTTTTGTCCTGAAGTGGATAAGAATAAATATATAAATAAAAGAATTCATTTCAGAGGTAAAAAAACAGTTCAAATTTCTTATGTGCTCTTCTCTGCGGGCAGCTATACAGAGTATGAATATACACATTACGCCATTTTTAAATTTCACTTATATGCAGCATAACAACATACCTTATGCCCACAGAGCAAAATTTCCACCAACCAGCTGGTCAGAAATGACCGCAGAGAGAACATTCTCCTGTTTACATAGTTCTCTTATAGCAAAACTGCACCCTTATAGCATCTTACACTGACAGTAAACCCACTCAAAACCCCCTCACAATGCAGCACACTTACTCCAAACTGAATTTTACATACAGGCTAAGAAAAAAGATTTGAAAGGCCACACTCAACCATTTTCAACTTTGCTGAGTAAACTTCAATGTCCAATATTCTGTGCATACCTACACTGGCTAGTTTTTCAAATGAATTCTTAGGACTCTTAACCTTCATCAAGAATCTAGCTCTAGCTTCCATTAGAAACATAATTTTTATGCTAGTAATGCACAGTTCTTGTAATCTTCCACTGAAAATTGCCAACAAGCCAATAATATTCACTATGACCTGCAGGTTGCCATTAATTCTATTTAACATCAGAGCGGGTGAATTCATTGACAGTTGTAATGGAGCATTCATCAGCCCTATTGTACAGAATGCCGTCAAGCACTGCCTGCTAATAAACTCAGGAGTCTCCAAAGCAGCCTCTTGTCATAACACCCACCCTCTCCCTCTTCCTCCCCCTCAAATCCAAATAGTTCCGTACTATATTTTTCAGCCTTACTACTCTAGGGAACATTTTCCACACATGTTGAATAAAGATACAAGAAGGTTTGGTTTTGCTTAATATGAACCTGCACAGTGACTCCAATGCCATGTACTTAGTAACATTCTTGCTGAAGCAGGAGCACTAACATGAGGCTAGGAAATGTCAATAGTAAATCAAGTCTTCACATTCAAACAGATTTTGCAAATAGACAGAAATTCCTTCTTACCATCTGAACACACACATTCTGGTTTAAATTCAGTGTTTTCTTCTGTGAATTGTTAAATCAATTGTTTCCAGTAAATAGTTATTTCAAACAAAACAAAACAGGCATGTAGCACTCTTATTTGTGTAACAAAAAATGAATGGCAATAGAAGCCTATATGCAGATAACAGAACTTACTCAGACAGCATAACTGTGCTAGATGCATGGATACATACAACAAGACAATTAGCCCTGCCTCCAAACCTTAATCAAAGGCTGTAGAATAGTTTCAAACAATCCATTTTTTTTGTTAAATCTAAATAACATTAGGACAGACTGTGGTATCATTTTTCCATGCAAAATACATCAAACTCTAAACTATTCATAACAATAAATGCTCTCAGCTCCAGGATTTTATACACTCAGAGATGACTAAGAAGTTACTCAACCAGCAGTTAATACGCACACCGAACAGCAGCTCTGTTTTCCTTTTACATACTTATCAACAAACTGAAAATGGACATATGAGACACAAAAATACGAAATACAAAAATATTGGACTAACTTGCTTTCACGTGTATTTCAGCTATCTGGAATCAAATGCTAAAGAATCTTACAAGTTCAGTAGCTTCTAACTACTCTCGAGTTCCGCAAGGCAGACAGACCTATGAACAAGTTTGTTTTACTATTTGGAGAGACTAAGTGAGTAATCTCTTAGTTTATCTTTTTTTTTTTTAAAAAAAACATGATAGTGTATCAGCATTTCTAGAAAGGGATAGGTAATTTGTCAAATGCTTGCAAATTTATCTCATACTGTTAAGTGTTTCCACAGGCATGAGAAAACTTGACCTTAAAACAATAAATTTAGATTAATATAGTACCACAGAACAAACCACGCCTGTTGGGTAGTTCTCATCTTTCAATCTACAAAGTAAAAAAAAGTTTCTACATCTTATGCTTACAGCGTTTTAAAACACAGCAAACAACCACACAAACCAGCCATGTAACAACTTAAGCCTCAATCAGTATTAGAATACCAATGAATTGTATTTCATAATTTTTATTAATATGTGCACAAGAAGCTCTTCATTCAACACAGAAATTATACTTCCTAGATACACTTAAAAGACACATGCAATGCACTTATAAATAAATATTGTTTCATAAGCAGAAACTATTAGAACTGGTATGAGGAAGTGGAATCAGATTTGGCAACATCTCAATGCCACATGCAATCTGGTCACACAACAATCTGCTCATATCAATTTAATGTTTTTAAAACATGCCAAATATCACACTCTAAGATTGAGAGATTTTAGTTTTATTTTGATGATAGTGATGATTTAGAGCCTAACCTTACCAGATAAATACTTTTTTAATTCAGTGAATATTCAGCGTTCTACTTCATAAAAAGTCATTCAATATTTAATTTTACAGAGCGGGTCCTGTGAAATGCTGAGCGCTCTACTTCTAAAATATTACAAGTTCAGAATTCTACCGGGTAACGCCTTTATACAAGTTTTACACAGAAGTCTAACACAGCAATAGATACTGGAACATAAGGACATTTTACTTACTCTGTTCTGACTGTGCTACTATTTCCCATTTATCAACTATTTGCACTACTTGCTCATATTTCTCTCCTTGTCAGCTGACTATGCATTAATCACTCTTTACAGAAATTTTACCTCAAATGTTTTTTCTTCTCTAGTTGTTCAAAACCAATGCCAAGATAGCTCCCAGTCCATGTATGTACTCACCACTTCATGCAGCATCTTGCAAGGCTGAAACAGAAGTTGTTTTCCAGAATCCGTTCCCTTTCCATTTCATGTGCACATTGGTGATAACAAGTGGCTCTTCATTAATAAAAAGCTGCTGACATTCTTTCTTAAAAAAAATAAAGCCAAAGAGTCAACAAAATTTCCCAAAGCTTACTATTCTAATTTTATACTGGTATCAGGCAATACAATGTTTTTTAATTATTTCTTTATGCTTCTTCAGAAACAAACACTGACATTTCACTTGGGCTAAAATTATTTTTTTAAATGACTGAGGCTTTTAATACAACAACTAGTTTTACAGCAGGACTACACTGACATCTAGCTAACTAGGGTACATGATATATATCACAGTATCATTCTCATCTTTCTTCTTCATACCAGAAAAATTCAAAAGCACTCAAACTAAGACCACTACAGTGACAAAATTTGTGCTTTTTTAATTATCTGTTATAAAGGAAAATACTTTTACTCATAAAGATCATTCTCACAAATGCCCAAGTCTTTATGTGGACAAACTGATAAGAGAAGTTACGGTTTCCAAGGTGCACAAACACACATCCAACAAGACGTCTTTGCAATTGGCCTTTTAAGTACCATTTACACCCCAAAAGTTGACATTTTACTTTTATATACTTTATAAGGCCTGTTAAAAAAATTACTAAAAAAAAAAGCATACATAGCTATAAAAATAATTGTTTGATTAAATTGACTCCCCTGTCCACTCAACTAAAAACCAAACAAATGAAAGATTCAGAGAAATTTTGCAAAAGCAGTCAGATTAAATTAAAAATGCTAACATTCAAAACTGCTGTTAGAAAATATGTTTGTATTTATAATAAATACTAATTCAACTTCATTTATTTTCCAAGACAAGTATGGTATTCTCTTTTTTCCCCCTTGCAACAAATACACCATGTGCAAGAGAAACAGAACTCAGAACTCATATCTCAGCAGGTAAGCTAAAGCAAAGTAAAGAGAAAAAAAAGTGCTATTTGCAATTTTGAAGGAAGAGCTGCTTCTACAAAAATACTAAGAAAATGTACATTGCCCTCCTTGACTACTTTGGGTCAACAGTGAGCACTACAGCCTATTTTCTAGGACAAGATGAATATCCTAGGCCATGTATCCTACTCTCCTGCTTTTGAGACATTATCTTCTCCAATATTTTTATAACACTCAATGCATAAAATATTAAAAGCATAACAACACAAAATCACAACTGAAATGCAACCCTTTCTCCATGGTTTAAAATTCATAATGCCCTTTAAGAAGACTACAGTATTGGAGGGTACGAATAGAAAATGAAGACATGAAAGAACTACTGAAAAGCAAGTGAGAAAACCACAAGGTTTTCAGGACATACGGGTTTGTAATAGGTAGCCAGAACTCCCTATGCCACCTGATTGTACGGGATGACAGTCAATATATGGCATCAGCAGATTGATAACTTTTTTTGGACTATGCCAAGTGTTCCTTCCAAACATGGGAAAAGAAAGGGAGCATGATGGCTATGCAGTTCTACAAACCTCTGATAAGGTCTGCGCACACTCTCATCCTTCTGAAACACTGCCTTGTGCTACTCAAAATCCAAAAAGTTGCCACTAAACATAACTAAGAGCCAATGGCTGCTTGACAGCTCATGCCAAATAACAAAGGTTAAGATACTGGTTTAGCTTTGAGTAGACTTGTGACCACATCACATGAACCACGACTGCCGTCAGTTTCAGCATGAGACCAGGTAGCCTCAATATTAAGTCAGTGATTCAGAATTTATAAAGGAAACACTTTTTATAGCTTATCAGTTTTGCTAGCTGCAAAGGCCATGCGAATTTCAACGCAGTAATCAGTGTTAGATGCCAATAAGAAAGTCTGTGCCTGTTCTGGAATATGAGTGCAGTTTGATTAAAACTTTCGTTCCCAACAAAACTTACGCAATGTCTTTATTTGTGCACTACTGCTAAGACATCCAATGCCACCAAAGTGCCAAACATCATTATTGCAGGTAATCCTGTCTGACGAATCCCTTCCTCATTCCATCAGAGAGCACAGGAACAGCTACTTGTGTCAGTGAGGCTGTGCTACTCTTAATGTGAATACAAAGCCATACCTTTTAGCACTCCTTTCCATTACTTTTTGAACGCTGACTTTTTCACTTGCTTTTCAGAAAGCGAGTGGACAGCCCCATAGGGACAATCAAGAATACGTTTTTCTCATCAAAGCACGAAAGCAAATACAGGGGGAGCTCCCACTGACCCACCCCTCACTCCAAGGACCCAGGACTCTCCTCTGACCAACCGACTGCTAAAAGCACAACCTGCCTGACCAAGCCAAGCCAATAAAGGTAACCTCCAAGCATGTATTTTCTGCCTAGCGCCAAAGTTCGTTTCTCAAACCAGGTTAAGGACAATTCAAATGGGCTGCATTAAAGAGACACGACAGTTGCAAAACAGCACCTTCCGTGACAGGACACTGCCTTCTCCTCTGTTCCCCACCCCCCACAGCCCCCCGAAGTCTCCCCG